CCGCGGTTGGCTCGTGGTGCTTCGCTTCCCACAGGTCTAGGATGTGCTCCGTGGGACTGGACTTGGTCGCGAAGTAATTGATGTACCTGCAATTTTCACACGTCTTTGAATTCGACCGCGGAACTGTTACGTAGTGACGTCGTAGAGGCGAAATTACCCTTTTTTTTTAAATTGAATAGAAATCGGTGGGGTTGTAGAGATATTCGTTAGATTAAGGTGGAGTCCAGTTTGGCTATCTTTACGAATTTTTTTTCGGCTAAACTAGTAAAGATATCGCGATACTTCTTTTTTCGACAGAAAGAGACATCCTTAGACTGTAATAGAACAATTTTGTTCGATGCAATTTTTAATAATATCATCGTAAATTTTGTACTCTGAGTTGAAAGATGCTGCGAAAGATCAATTACAGATATCTCAGGATAGAAACTATCGAATATTTTATAAATTTTTGTCGTGAACCGATTCACGCAGATCCTCGAAATATTATTTGGACAAAATGATAAAACTGAATAGCTGCCTTCTAAATTAGCAAGAGCAACTTCTACTTGGAATTTTCTACCTACTCCAGTGTCCAAAGAGAACCTAACGATCCAGCAAATGATTATTAGATCTACCGTAAAGTTCTGTCCGATAGTGTCATCTGAAGATCCAAAGATGAGTCATTCTGCAGAAATGGAATCCACAAATTACCATCGCGCTGGGAAGAGCTCTATTAGTAACGATCGAAATTACATTCTTCTTATTTTCTTTTAATTGACAAACAGACAGAACTTTCCGGTAGATCTGATAAAAAACGAAAGAAGTACCAACCTGTCGACCTGAAGCCTCTGCGCGAGCATCCTCCAGTCGTTGCCAAGCGCGTTCGGCGGATCGAGGCACTGGCAGAGCTGTTTCCTGAGGGACCTGGTAAACCGAAACGGTCTGAGGGTGGTGGAGTCAGTGGTCGCGTTATTAGCATGCCCGCTGCTGACCACCGTCACCTCTCTCAGCGGTCTGGTCACGCTTCCGGACGAGATCAATTGCTTCGCGCCGTCGTACACGATCCTGAACACCTGCCTGGTGTCGGAGTTCCCTTGCGACACCTGGAGTTTGTAGCTTCGGCTGTTGGTAGGTCCGAACGGTGTATCCAAACCGAAAGTCACGTGTTTCGTATTCTCCTGACAGTTCCACACGTCGCTGAACGGGATCTCTTGTCGTTCCGTCGGCGATTTACTCTGCCATTCGTTGCCGACCTCTTCTAAACTAACGCACAACGATTCACCGTTGTCTTGGAACAGCAGCGATCTCGGTTTGTCCAACCAGAAGCCGCGTATCTGCGATTCCCTGTCGGCGATAGCCTTCATCGCTGCTTTCGTGTCTTCGACAGCGTACACCCTTACGCAACATTGTCCAGCTTGGCTCGCGAACAACGCTAATCGCAATCGTTTCGTCGCTACCACGTTCTCGCAACTTTGACCGGCCAGAACGTAGCCTCGGAGCTGTTCCGTCACGATGAACGCCTCCGCGTGATCCAGCTGTGTGAACAACGGCGTGTTGATCGTCTCGTTGCCTAACGTCAGCACCCTGGTCCACGTGATCGATTGATGGTCCTTGGAAGAGGCGACCGCTGTACCATCCTCCACGCTTAGGCCGTCGCACGCCCAGACACTGAGCTCCCACGTGGCCGGATGGAGGACACCGCAGTGCTCGAACTGCAGGATCACGGGTTTGTTGAAGGTGGCCGACGAAGGGCCGCACGTCACCACCGCAGATAGTTGGGTGATACCGTCTACAGGGAGAGACGAGAGTCGTGAGATCCCAACTAACTGCTTGGAAAGCATTCTGAACGCTCGAAGCAAGTGGGCGCGTCTTAAACAATCTAACGCAACATTCTCCAGCATCGATTAGAAGGGACACGGGATTGGTATCGTGCTCTGGCCTGAAAGACAACCGAAACCACTCTCCGTCTATGGTGTCCGTGTGAATTGAATCGCAATTGGAGGTGGTCGGGGATCGATGAGGCGTTCGTTCCAGAGGAACCGTCACGGACACCGCTTGGCAATTAATAATGCACGCACCACTTACCGGGTAATCGAGGCCTAAAGCGATCCTCGTTCAGCACCGCCAGGTAGAGTTCCTCCCTTAGTGGCTTGGGTACGGCTCCCTCGGGCACGGACATCGATATGCCAGCGTCCGGAAGTACGAGTAGAGCGCCGCGTGTGTTCACTGCTGCTCCAGCAACGTTTCCGGTGTCGAGCTTTGGTAAACGGACGCTCTCCGAGGCGACGTTGTAGGTGGAATCGGAGGAAGGGTAGGAGCTAGTGATGCTGTTCTCGCAATCGGAGTGGAGCTGCTTGTCGCTGCAGGACTCCTGGGTCGAGGTGCTTGGCGTTGGCGACATTGGCGAGGGTTGAGGGGCGATCGATAAGTGCGGTACGTCGTAATGGTGCTCGGAGAGGGATCTCGACATCGACAGCTTCGGGTCGAAAGGATACTCGTAGCAGGCCGGCACGCTCGTCGCTGTTACGTCCGGCTGAAGGCTCAGCTTCTTGTCCTGGTCCGGGAAGAACTCCGGCTGGAATTCTGAAACGCACACCGCCGAGCCACGGCTCGTGGGTATCTCTGCGCGCTGCGGACAGACGCCGCTGTGATACTATTCCGATTTCAGAGTGTACGAGGTTCGCCACTTTCATCGGTCTCAATTTTTGTTCCATTTTTTTTTTTTGCTGCTTTTGGGGAGTGACGAAGCGTTCGTTCATTCTTCGCACTAGACGATTGTATCGTTTGTATATACAATAGTCACAGAGAAGGAGATTATTATTCCTTTTTTTTTTGTGAATTTTGGGAGTGGTAAAATGTTCCTTCATTCTTTGAGCAAGACGATTGTATTATCATACGTACGATAGTCACAGAGAAGGAAATTATTATTCCTTTTCTTTTTTTGGTGGGTTTTGGGAGTTCTTTAACCCTATAAGTCTAAGTGGGTCTCCAGAGTTTCATACATTCTAACGAATGTTCATTAACCTCTAAGTCCAGGGGTGTTTTAAGCTTGCAGAATTTTTTTGAGGGTCAAAATAGTCTACTATCGAATGCACGAAAATGTGAAAATCATTGGTCTTGTGGTGTGAGATGATTGTGTATTACCGTACAAGAGTCACAGAAAAGGAGCCTGAAATGAAATTAGACTTCTAGGAAGAGTCTGATCAAAGATGAGAAAGCGGTCTAGCAAGTGTTCAAGTGAACTCTAGAGAAGACTGGAAACGTTCGATACTTTTGTTACACTCGTAAAATTCTTTGATAAATTACACCGGTTGACATTTTCAATTCATTACTACTATCGTTGACGTAATTTCTGAATAAATCCAGGGAGTAGTAGCGTTGCTAATGGAAGAGTAATTGAAGATCCACGATCTCGTTGAATGCAAGTCGTGTTAAAGTCACGTAAATGTCGTAGAGCTTGTACTATCCATCACCGAGCGTCACTTTTCTTAAGTTATTACTCGCGAAACCTGTTCATCGTTAAGTATTCCATATATGAATAATAAAATCCTTTCGTTATATTCCTCTGTCCGTATTAAATATTCTAATCAACCGAACACAGAATAAATCTCGTTCTTCAGATGAAAGTAGCGAAGCACGCACTTGTGTCGGTCAAACTTCGAAATAGTATCATTTTTAAATGGTTTGAAAGCGAACGAAGGATCGAAAATAGATGTTTCCGCAACTGTAAGACCATCTGAAACGTGAAACATAATTACGTACATCCAGTCGCGTGTTTCGTTCCTTCGTTCGCGGATAGTCTTTCTTTTTCTTTCTTTCTTTCCATCTGTGAAATGCTTACCGTTACGGGCCATGGAGTAAAGGGAATGGTCCCGACCTTTGCGCCTCAGAAGCTTCGCTAAGAAAAATGCCAGGCCGCCGATTACCACACACGCGACAGTCAAGCCGACGTACAGAGCCACGTCCATCTGCCTGTTCGCTGTGAACATCAAACGACGTGCTTCTTTCTTACTCCCGTCTCGCGAACCGGTCACAGAGACCACTCTGCCATGCAGAATCGTTGAATGTTAATTGGTTTATTATCGAAACCGCTTCTCTCCATTTTTCCTCTCTCGCGTGAATTTTTAGCAAAGGCATTCTATCACAGTATCTTTTTCAACCTTTGCGTCGAACAGTTTAACCCTTTGACGACTGTTATGTCGCATCAAACTATTTAAATTAAATGGACGTACGAAATTTGCAAGCTTTCAGCGATCATTTTTAAAGTGAAAAGAAATTGGTAGTAACGGAAACGAAGGAACTGTACAGTTTTCAACTTGCACAAAATATCGGCAACTGTTCACTGGGAAAAATACCAGGACGGAATGTTACATCGGAAAGCTACGATATTGAAAAGGCAAATGAACACGTAACACTTGCAAATTGGCCATTACGGCCTCTCTACACATGCGAACTTTCCTCGAAAACCATACGAGTCAACGCGGTAGAATCCATTGGTCGGTCTACCGGGACACGCAACAGAAGCGAGAAAGGATGACCCGCTAATTCGAGACTTTGTTACGTCGTGGCGTTTAAGCCGCGCGTCGAAAGATTATCGCCGGGACCGAGAGATTACAGTAACCAGCGGGCGTTAATTCCTCGTTTTAAGGGGCCACTCTCCTCGCGATACGATCTCGTGTAGCCGTTTAAGACGTACCATGCAAATGGCGCCGGTAATTCTCGCGTATCCGCGAAGCGTGCTCATCGCGGACGAGCACAGACCGACCGACCATTCATGAATAATTTACGCGGCAACTTTTATACGCCCTTCTCTCTCTCTCTCTCTGTTGCCTTCTTTTTCTTTCTTCTTTCTTTACGACGAAACGTGTTCACGCGGGGAACCGAGGGTTCCTTTTGGGGTAGAAAGAGAAGGAGAGTATTACGGCAGGGAGACAAAAGGGAAGAAAAAAGAAAGAAGCGATGGAAGAAGAAGACGAGTTTTTAAACGTTTCCCGCGTGCCGCTAAATATTACGAGCATCGTCCGAGGAAAGTTTTAAGCTCGGTTCCTCTCCATTTACACCGAGGGGACAACGTCGTTTCCTACCCCCCCGGCCCTTTTCTGCCCATTCTTTATTCTCAGCTTTTATCGTTTTACAACGTCTCGAGCGTTTATTTCGCGCTTTCGACGATAAACATTTCGGATGATTATTATCACGGCCGTTAAACGGACCGAGCGGTAAAGGGAAAAAAGAGGAAAAATAGCGGACGCGACTGGAATGGAATAATAATAATTTTAAGTGGTCGCTGGAAAAGAGAAGAGCGAACGGCAGACACAGGAATGGCAACAAAGACGACGTGGGACGCGATTAAAACCGCGACACACAACAGCGTAGAGAATCGAGGAGAGAGAATTACGCCACGGGCAGCGTGATAGTCTCGGTTGAAATCGGGATTGAATTACGCTGGATGCAAAGTTTCACCGTGATTCGAACGCGTTTTATGAATTATGTAACGGAGACGATCTCGTCGGGGATATCTGACGCTGGACCGTTTCGCAAATGCGCCGATCTGACGTGAGACGTGGCGTCGTAAATCGCGAAAGTTCGCGGATATCAATTTGCGAAACGAGATGCGAAACGGAGGAATTATTCTTCGAAAGTTTTCTTGCTCGTGGATGCTGGTTATGCTTGTGTTCGTGTGGCGAATGATTGTGACATTTTGACAATTTAGGGTGGATTCTTATTTTTTTATTCTAATCCTGGTGATAGGTCTGAGAAGGAGATTTGATTTAATTTTGGTTTAAGATAGAAAGATGAAATTTTAGAGGAGAAAATTAACCCTTCATATATTGATTATTTTGTTTTTAATGAAATCATTGAAAATTTAATGCGGAATTGCAGTGATTCTGCAGTGGAAACATTGATAATTTTTGTACAAAATTCTGAGAATTATACTGTTGCAAAGGCGCTCTGTGAAATTGAAAAGATTCTATTCTAAATCATTGAAACATTTTCATAAAATTCACAAGAACGATTAAAGCAGTTTTCAGAAAATGTAAAATAGACTGTCTCCATATTCCCTATTAAATCCTAAACTCGTTGACCACAAAAATCCACCAATAAAATCCGAAATCTTTCCAGCACAAATTCAACACAAAAAGCATCCTCACACTTCTCCCCAAAAAATTCTCTCAAAACAACCAACAGTACTGCTACGTGTAAAGGGTTAAATTCCCATTCACCAGTACAACTACACATCCCAAAAACCCCACCGTACCAACTTGAACACGTCTAAAATAGGACTAAAAAAAAAAAGAAGAATTCCTCCCACGCGTTTCACCCCTCGAAGCGTCGTGATCGTGTGGCGCGTTAGAGTTGCGCGTGCCTGGGCGGAAGATTTTCGAGAAATCCTCCGTGAGGCTTGCAGGCGGGTAAGAAAGCGGCGTCTGACGTTCCTAAGCTTCTTCCAATTTTAGAATGTCAAAGCCATTCCCGGTTGTAACCCCGGTACGTGACTCTCGAAGGGCCGACTTCTCGTTCGCAGGATCATGTGCGTCTGGTTGGCGCACGCTTGTCCCAGGGACACGTGCTTCGAACATCAATATACGCGGCGACGAAAACGCATACGAATAGCGTGTAGACGGAAGAAGACGAAGAAAGTAGGAGGTGGAGGAGAGAAGCGCGTGTGTATTCCCTAAAACGCAATAGTTCCACGTCGTTAGCCCGGTTAGGCTTCCTCCTACCGTGTATATCACCCCTCGGCACAGCCTGAAAAGTGGCGCAAGGGGGGCGTAGAGATTTATTTTCTTAGCGGCAATTGATAACGCTTCATAACCCCCGGCTAATGTATCTGAAGCCTATAATTCATACGGAACCCCTTGGATTTTCTCGTGGTTGCGATTTCTGTTCCCTTTCAGCGCTGTTCCTTCGGTTTTTGAAAGTATCAGCACGCCTGAGTGACTTTGAAAATTTTTGAGAAATTACTTTTAGATATTGGCAAGTGAGATTTGTTAAGGATGACTAATGGGAGCGAAAACTTTTGTGGAATCTTTGGTAAGGGTGATTCTGGAGAATTTACGAAGACTTCAGAAAATTCGGGAGATTCAGAATTTCAGAAGATTCAGAATTTCAGCAGATTTAGAGTTTCAGAAGATTCAGAATTTCAGGAGATTCAAAATTTCAGAAGATTCAGGAGATTCAGAGTTTCAGAAGATTCAGAATTTCAGGAGATTCAAAATTTCAGAAGATTCAGAGTTTCAGGAGATTCAAAATTTCAGAAGATTCAGAGTTTCAGAAGATTCAGAATTTCAGGAGATTCAGGAGTTTGAGTTTCAGAAGATTCAGAATTTCAGGAGATTCAAAATTTCAGAAGATTCAGGAGATTCAGAGTTTCAGGAGATTCAAAATTTCAGAAGATTCAGAGTTTCAGAAGATTCAGAATGTCAGGAGATTCAGGAAATTCAGAATGTCAGGAGATTCAGAATTTAAGAAGATTAAGGAGATTCAGAATTTCAGAAGATTCAGGGGATTCAGAGTTTCAGAAGATTCAGGAGATTCAGAATTTCAGAAGATTCAAAATTTCAAAAGATCTCGGCCTAAAACCACACTAAATTTCTCTCGACTTGGACTGTACCCTTTTCCACCTCATACATATGACCATTGTAAAAGAAGGGGTTAATCACGAGCCTTTTCGATACTCGTTCCACTTTAACCGTTTCCCCGAAAATCACCAAGAAACTACCCAACACCGTCGTGATCGCAGTTCACAAGTGTTCCCGCGTCTTATCGCGGCTTTCGTGGAAAATCGAAGTGTAGAGTGGGGCGGTTGTTTCTGGCCAGCCGTCCCCCCTTTCGACGATCCACGTACACGTTGTAGGTCTCCGCCATGGGATAATGGCACTTTATTTGCATGCACGATCAATTTCCCTAGCCAGAGTGGGGCTTGCGGGGGGCGTAACGGCTACCGATTACATAATTTTCTTCGATATTAAAGCGGTCCCACCCCCGTCGACGCCAGTCGATGGGGAGTATCGCGTGCAACTTTGATGTGGCGCTCGGTCGATAGAATCGTCCAGGGGACCTCTCTCTCTCTCTCTGTCTGGATCTATATACAATCAAGAGTGTGCCACCCTTGGACTATAACCAGCAGCTGAAACCTGCCGCGCCACACCTCATTGTTGCGATTGTTTGACCGCGGAATCGACGCGAAGCGTCAATAATTAACCGGTCGCGTAATTAAAAGTAAATACGCGAAGGGGACGCGGACGGTTTGGTCGTTCGCGTGGAAAACTTGCTGGGTAAATAGAGGAGGGATCGCTCGGGAGGACCGGGGAATGGCCTGGGGCATTTTTCTCAGGGAACGGAGTCTCGCGAAAAGCGATTATTGGACGTGATGTGACGGGAGATGCTGGGAAAGTGGTGGATAAATGGTAAATTTGGTGAAAAGGGTAGGCGGTGGAAATTGGTAATTAAGTATTCTTTTGATCGAGTCGTGGAGTTTAGTAAACGTTTTCACCCTTCGTATCTTGCTTTCTGATATTTTTCGGTGGCTCCGTGTTTGCGTTAATTGTTCGATATTTTGTACCAGGGCATCAAAATTAGACTTGAAGCGAAAAGTTAACTTTATACCAAACACCATTGATCGTGAAATTTTCAACGTAATTCGTACCAAAAGTGAGTCACTCAGAAACCAAAGTGACTAATTCCACTTATCGCAACTGGTGCTTAAATATTCTCGTATAAATTAAATTCCACAAATTCTGTTTGGTAGAGTTAGTCATTCAGCTTCCAAGCACCTGAACAGTGATCAAACATTCCCTAACAGAGATCTAAATTCCTACAATCTTCCCACGAAAAAAAATCGAACGAACGAGAAATAAAGGGTTAATCCGCACAATCTTCTCTCTACAAAGGAACGAAGAGAGATCGACAAATCGAGTGGTTCGTCATCTCGATCCTCTCTACGGGCGACAGAATAGGCGTTCCCATCAGCCCCATTAGGTGACTATTTTCTCGCGTTTGAATGGTTACGCGCGACGCCTTCCAACGCCGCGTTAATACACCTTGAATCGATGAATGTCGTTGCAGCGTGCACGACGAGAGAGACCTTCTGTTCTATTTTCCCGCGGCGGGACGACCGCGATTCGAGCGGTATCAGATCGCGAGGCGAATAGAAACGGCGCTCAGAGGCCGTGAACAATCCATCTAAGAATGTCGCGCGACGAGTCGAGCGTATTTTCTTCACGGCTGGTCGCGCCCTGTGCCTCCTACTCGCTGTATTTCGATTTTCGCGCGTCGTCGCCGCGGAACGAATCGGGGGTGGAACCGTCTCGACGCGGTTCGCGATTATCTAATCGTGACGCCACCTTCCTTTCTTCGCGTCGCGGTGTCACGGTGAAATGCGTGTCGATTTTTCACGCGCGTGAAAATTCTTTTTATCCTCGAATCTCTGATTACGGTGTGTTAATATGTACGTGGAGAATTTGTCGAGTTTGGACTCACCTTCCTCCGTTAAATGCGCGCCGCCCATCTTCGTGTTGGCACCTGGAAGAATAACGATGGATCGTTGACTATGGTACAGGGATAAAAATTTCATTTGTGAGATACGACAATTGAAAATTTTTTATATTTTTGTAGCAACTTTTTCGTGCTCAATTTTGCATATAATTTTTAGCGAAATTTTCTACTTTTCATAGTTACGGTTTCTTTTCTTTTTCGAAGAGGATTTACTTTTTGCTTTTAAAAACTGTAAAGACTGTCTGGGCATTTAATTGACTAAAATGAAGCTGGTCAAACGAAGCCTAACTCCACACCGCTGACTTCCACTTCAATATAGACTGTCTGAAAACTTCCGCTTTAAGCTTGAATCGCTAATGTTATCAAATAGATCCACCAAACAGCGTAAAGTTCTATAATCTGAAGTTTAGTTAAATCGTTAAATATTCCCTTTTTACTACCGATGCCACAATATATTTTAACGAACTACCTTACGATTTAATCCTTATCGAATTGAACAAACGGAAAGTTCTAATTAACCTGCTAACTTTTAGTTTCATACGAAAGAATATTTTTTATTCGTAAAATAAATAATGTACAAATACGTTTCAAAGTATCTAGAGACGATTGAAGTATTTATTAAGATTAATTAAAGGTGAATAAAATCCTCGAAACCTTGATAATACACATTGAGTATTTTCGTTGAATCGATAGCAGTCAAAGGGTTAAAATACCAATGAAACCAGCGATTTAATTTTCCATACACATCGTAGACATTTCTTCCAACAAGTTAACTCTGTCTCTTTGTATCTCCATAAAAATCAACCATCCCAAATTCACCCTCTTAAAAAAGTACCCTTTTTTATACTCTCCGTCCATCTTAAAGCATTCTTTCAGGATTATTTTAAACATTATTTCGAGTGAATAACTCTACTACAATATTTATGATTTTCCCTTCAACTTCGAAAAATCAGTTCTATGTAATTGAAAAACAAACCCTAATTCTACTACTCCCAAAAACTAATACATAATTTGGTACTTTTCTAACCATAAGGATGTCGTTCCATGTTAACCCTTTCATTACTATTGGCGCCTATAGGCGTTTCGAAAATTTTCTCGCACTATACCGTTAGATCCTCTCGGTGCACTCCCACCTTGATTTAACACATAATTTCATCCTTCACGCGCTCTCACTTTAATTTAATAAACCGAATTTCAGAACGCTACGGCCAAAATAAGAAATTTTGCTGCCGTGGACTATAATTTACCGCCAATTACCCACGTTACGCGTTGAAATCTACCGTAGCGAAAGGGTTGGACAATTTAGAAAAGAAGACCTAACCCTGCTGCTCTCGCAAACCACCGCACAGTCCAAGTATTTTTCGAGCCATAAGGTCTTCGAAGGGAACAACGACGATCGACAAAGATCTACAAACTCACTGTTGCACATGCCACCGGTGCAATTCGCCACGCTGATGTCTCTCCCCTGGCACTGTCGTCCACCATGGCTCGGCGGTGGTTCGTCGCAGGATCTTCTTCTGGTGTGCGTGCAGTCGGTGCCGCAGACCGACCATGCTGACCATCTGGACCATCCACCGTCCACGACTGTCGCGTAGCCGAGAAAAAAAAGAAGGAAGAACTGTTGGAAAGATCGTCTCTTTCTCGTGGAGTCGTTAAGGGGACTCGGATCGACGTAAAGCGACGGTAAAAAGCCAGGTGGAAACGGGACTCGTAACTCGTCCGCGTATCCCCATGAGCCTTGTTCGAAAGCCATACTCGTCAATTCGACTGTGCTCGCTTCCTTTTCGTTTAATTGACTCGTACTGGCTTGTGGAAGGAAAAAAGGAAAGAAACGGACCTCCCTTGTGTGTACCCGTTTAATCTTCGACCACGTTACTCGGATTCGTCGCGACACTGTACTTACAAATCGCTCTTTACCCCCGTTTTTCACTTATCCTTCTCGAGGTTTTCGATCGACAGTGGTTTTATGGTAAATATGACTTTTTCTCGAGGTCTTCGATCGAGAATGGTTGTATGGTAAATACGATTTTTTCTCGAGGTTTTCAATCGAGAATGGTTATACGGTGAATATGATTTTTGAGAAGGAATTTACGGGAGGACACTTACCTAGAGTGTTGGTGAACTCCTCCAGAGTACCGGCTATTCCAAAGCGAGCGTTAAGACAGAAAGACGTATAGGTGCATTATCGAAAGCGGACAGACAGTTTGTGAGAAACACGTGCGCACACAGAAGCGACAGTAATGGTATAGATTCTCGAATTAACCCCTTCGTCTCATGGTTGCTCGCGGTAGTTACCCCTTTCGATGCTTAGGGGTAGCTATGGTGACCCTTTGGAAAGCGAGCTTTACGCGTTAGGGGTGAAGATAGTCATGTGGTGTTTATATCTTAGAGGTGGTAACTAGGCAATGGAAATTTTAATCGTAATTTAGCGCAGGAGTAGTAATTCTCGTTGCATAATTTAGTGTACAGAATGGGCCACGGCCTCTAGCCGTGATAGTACGAGAAAATCTTTATACGTGATTTACATGGTTTCAAAAGGTAAATAAGGTGAAAGACAAATTTGAAAAATTTTTTTTCAAGATTACCTATGTTTTTTTTGGCACGAATGTATATATTTTTTCTACTGTGCGTTTCGTGGACTCGAATTTTTAATCAGACGTGAAACTTCCATAAAGTATTTTTTCTTCCATCTTGTTCACCCTTTTAAACCATTTAACCCTTTGACTGCAGCGTGCTCTAAGGACCATCAAATTATGCGACGCTACACTTGCACGCATGTCAATGGAACTCGCTGAAAAATACATTGTAAGCATACGACAATATCGAAATTGTCAAATGTATCGTAGTAAACAAATTTTTTTCGTCGTATATACCCACCTTTCGTATATATTGACGAATATAACAAAGCGTATATACACGTCTGTAGCAGTCAAAGAGTTAAACAACGCACAGAACTTTTTTCGTACATTTATATAGCTCGTTTCACTTGGCTCACCCTGTACAAACGCGCAGAAGGATTGTCAATTCTCCTGCACGCTCGTCAACCTTCTCCCGTATACAAAGTGTTAATCTTGACGAAATATAACTAGCGAGAGGGAAAAAACTTGAAATTCCATCGACTCATTACTAATTCATCTCGAATTCACATTCACAAGTTCCACCCGCAAGAAACGCGTAAAATGACTAAACACCGTATAAGAATTCCGCGAGCGCGTCGCCGCGAGACACCACACGATCGAAGGGGTTAATATTTCACTCGTCGATACTCCTCCGATTCCCCGCCGTTTCCCGTGGACGCGCGGCCACCGACCATTTTCAATACACTCTGCACGACGCGAGTCCGTGCAGGTGCCTTGAGGATGTCGCGAGGCATTTTCGAAAGGTGAATACGATTTAAGAGCGGCTCGCGGAGACATCGTTGCGTCGTGAGAGAGGGAAGAAGCTCGTAAATCAAACGGGAGAGGAGACTCTCTTTCTCCGCTGCAGCATTGGTAATATCGGTTTGTCGTGGCCGGAACCTGCCTGCCAGTCGCCTTCTCCACACCACTCTCACAATCGAGAGAGGACTCTCTCTCCCGTTGGACGGTGTACGCCCCGCGCAACCAGATAGAAATAGACGAGAAACGGATAGCAAGAAATCTCTGTCCGAACGATGGAAGCGGCGTATCGACGTTAACGAACCGTGATGCTTCCTTGAAAATCTCATTCCACCCTTGGGTATAATGAATTCAAAGGACACTCACCGGGACAGGCGGTGTTGCAGTCCATCTTCTGCTGGGACGGGCCTAAGCACGGCTGACCTCCGTTCATCGGAGACGGATTCGTGCAGGTCCGAGTACGTTTCTGACCACCTTTCGCGCATCTCGAGTGACATTCCGACCAGGCAGACCACGAAGACCATCCTCCGTTCACTGGAACAAGATTTCCACGGTGATTCGATTTTATTTTGGGCTTTTGTCCAGGGAAAGGGTTAATTTAAGCTCAGAATGACGAGAATTGCAACTTTCATGTGCAAACTAAATTTTGATCTTCCTTACAGTACACCTTAGTACTGATTAGTTACAGAAATCTCTAACGCTCAAATTAAAAATTTTAATTAGTGAAAACGTGTCCCGAAAGTTCCGAATTTCTACTTTTCGCATGAAATAAATTTCTCTGTCGCAAGGTAATTCTTTTTTGTGAAAAGTGTGCGTACATGTACCGTGTGAAGAATGGAGAAACGAAGGGATCGTGGGAATAAGCGTGCGATGTTAAGTACGAAGGTGGAAGACTTACCATAAACGGTGAGGCTGACAGGCTCGCTGAGTCTCCTAGCCGCGATGTTCTCCGCGACGCAAGTGTAATTCGCCTGATGGCTGAGTTTCGCCTGGCCCACCAGAAGGTGTCCCTCGCTCGACACTAAAAGCGTGTCCGACTCGGTGTCGACAGGAACGTTATTTCTTAGCCAGTACACCCTCGGTGGTGGCACTCCCACAGGAGGAAGACACCTGAGTTCGGTGCTCTGGCCCGCTTCCACCGATACCGAGTACGGCGGGGACTCGAATTGCTTTTTCAGGTCTGGGAAAATAGGAATTTATGGCTCTCTCAGAAACACGATATAAAGGACGGGACAAAACACCGTGTCTCTCTCTCTCTCTCGATGGTGAGAAAGGTTGATGTTAACGTTCCTGCGTGGAGCAGTCGGATAAAAGAAGAGGAACTGGCGTTAAATTGAAACGAATGGAACTGAAGAATATTTCACGGTTGAAAGGAATTATTTCGTTTGCTGGGTGATCCTTAAGTGACTGAACGACCACTTCCAATTACACGTGGAAAAGAAAGTAAATGCACGGTTTAACGAAATGTTTTTTAACGATACAGATACCTTTTTTAATTTTTGAAATATTCACTCCCAAATGAAGGAAAATTTGAAAATTGTGCGGGTTTCAAAGGGTTAAATTTTAATTACAGATCCCTTAGAGATGGGTCATTGTTGAGATATTGATTTTCAAATGAAAGTGAAGGAAAAATTAAAAATTGTGTAGGTTTCAAAGGGTTAAATTTGAATTACAGACCCTCACTGATGAATCTGAATTTTTATTTCACCATCACAACCTTATGCGGAATTTTAGAAATTTTAATATTTGATTATCTTCGACAGTAGCTATACTATTTTTTTTCTTTTTTTTTTTTTTTTAAAGAAATATCTCACTTAACAACAAGCTTAAGCCTAAGTAAATTCCCATAAATAACAGATAACGTATCATCTCTTCCCCCATACACAATTTTTTGGCACGAACGACCCCTATTTTTTATTTTCCATTCGACCGTGGAAATGAATTATTCGAAAACAAATTTTGTTTTTAAAGTACTCGCGAATCAGGGATAACAGGCTGATTTATGTCCGCCGTTTTGACGGGGCAAGTTTTTGCTCGAAAGGGAGTTACGTAAGAGGAGGAGCACCGGACAAACGGTCCTTTCCTAAATTGATTCTCTTAGAAACTCCACGGTTGCCGGTCATTGTGTTGCCACGCATTAAGGGTCAGAATTAAATAATGACTTCGCTTAGGAGAATCAAGATAATTACGAGGGGCCAGAAGGGGAAGTAAGACGAAAGTCGTAACTGTCCTGACAGTGGGGCGAACAAATGTCCAGGGCGAAATATTTATCGGCGAACTTCTTGGAAGAATTCAGATGTCTCACATGTGCGAAAACTTCTGCTTCGAGTAATTACACAATCACTCTTACTGATTGCGTGCTTCGACGAAATGCTTAACAGGTCGAGAAATGTGAGAAATTCGTTGAAATTAGCCAGTCACAGATTTTTGAGAAAAATCAGAAAATTTCAAATTATTCCTTTTTAATAAATATTCAAAAAATTTTATTCTGACATTGAGAAAAGTTTATTCAACAATTCTCTGGAAACTTTTAAGCAATTTTATTATTCTTATTTTCTATCGTTTCAGGATAAATAGAATCTTTGCGCTTTAATTTCAAAGAAAGCACCATAATGTCAATATTCAAATTTTCCCGCCAAAAAGATCGACAAGACTTTTTGACTATCCCAAAATAAACCAATAATTTTAGCTGCTTTGGCATACTTAAAAAAAAATTGAACTTGAACTGTCCAAAGTACTTAGAAAATTGGCATCAACCTTCGCAATTATTAAAAAGAAATAATTTTAACACTTACAAGCAACATCCACGGTAGCAGGTTGGCTCTTAATCTGTCCCGAACCAGACCAGGCGACGCATTCGCATTTGAACTTGTCTCTCCCGAAGTATTCCTCGATATGGTCTCTCGTTACGTTCAATTCGCAATCGACGATCCTTGTACCGGTGTGAGGATCCACGAAGTCTTGCTGCTGCGAGTCTTCCGCTCTCGCGTCGTTGCAACGGAAGTAGATTTGCAACGCGTGAGCAGCTTTGCAGTGCAGCGTGGCTGGTTTATTTTTCACCACGAAAGAATCGACCGGCTCGGTGAGAAACACAGGCAGATGGCCACCAGCTTCGGAGATCAGCTCTGTGTCCGTGGCTATCGTCGCTGATGGCACGTCGTCCTCCTCGAGGAGGTAGGAATCCTCGTCCTCTGCTGCATCCTCGCCTTCTGGAAAAGGACGGTCGAAATTATTTTCGGTTAATTTTTTATTCGTGACTTATTTGGAGAATATTGCGTTAGTGGAGGATACTCGTGGAATTAGAGTCACTAATTTGATTTTAGCTATTGTATTTACTTTTGATGGACCAAGATTTCAGTTGAAATAATTCCTGAGATCCTTGGTTGTTTAGTTTGTCGAATATGTATTGCATTAGCGGAGGATAATCGTGCAATTAGGGTCACTGTAGAGAGTTTGTCATTTGAATTGTCATTTTAATTTAGCTACCGATTGCCGCGTTTATTATGGATACTAGATCGAGGAGAATTTTTGTCCACTGGTGACGAAAGGGTGAAACAGTAATTTCTCAGAAATTCAGTCATCATTTTCAAAGTCGATGTCACACTTTATTCTCCTATTTTACGCACGCAACGAGGCATCTCCGATAAGCAAGCAGCGAAAGGTTAACATCCCAAAAATTCAATTACACTCTCAGATAAAATTACCAGGCGAGATTCCTCCAAAATCGCCGTGCCTTATTAATCAAAACCGTGGAGTCAAGAGTCAGAAGCTTCGATAACATCGTACCGAAAAGTCCAGTGATCAAACGAGATGAACGGAGCGTCGCTTATTATCAGCTCGTGATAAATTCACAGAATTGGATTATCGTCATTAACGCGCGGCGGGGTCCGGCAATCAGGCTGGATCAGGCTGGTGGACGCGTAGTCAGTCATTTGAATTCTAAATACACGGCTCCTGGTCCACCCTCATCCCTCGTCCTCTTTATCCCACAGTAATCGTAATTTACGATCGAGTTATTAATTCGCGCGGACATTATTCACCAGTAGCGGAAGAGAGAGGGTAAGGGGGGAGGCAAAGCTTGCTCTGGTTCCATTGAAATCGTGAAAATTCTATATTTGCTTGTCAACAATGGCCAGCGCCAGTTTCCCTCTCCCCTTGTAAATCCTCACGCCGGCCCATTAATGCCCGGCCGTCTCGCTCGCGTGAAACGACACTCGCTTGCTTCCTCGCTCGTTCCCGAGCTGCAGTAATGAATTTTCGGATTTACGCGGTGCACCGGTGCACAAGTTCGATGCATTTCCCGCCAACCAGCGGTTAGACGTTTATCCCCGTGCGACATTTGGCCGGGAGCCACAATTTTCCATCGCGATAATCGCCAACCTTCTCTGTACCCCCCCCAAAAAAAACGCTATCGAAAAAAATCCGTACGAAATACAAGAAGAAATCGCGATTCCACGCCGGTCACGTCGAAATCTCTCCCGAACATTTCAACGAGCTCAGACCAGTGTGAAAGGTATCCGCAGACTTCGCAAGCCGACATAGCGATCGACAAGCGTCACAATCGGGCGTCGCAGCTTTTTATCGTTGTCGTTGCTCGTTATTTTTCACGCTGTCTACGCGAAGGCCTCTCCATCCCGGCGAGTCGAAACGAAAAATAGAGAAAAAAGAGGGTAAAACGTGCGAAAAAAATCGGTCTTTCGCGTGGAAAAAAAATTGTCAGAATTTATACCCCCGATGGCGGGCAGATACCTTCAATATCCTGTGGAGATAGGAATCGTGCAGCGGGCAAATGAGAAGCGTCGCTCGACGAATGAACGTGAACCAACCCATCGAACGAACGAAAAAAGGAATAACACTCACACGCGTAGTTATATATGTATATAACACACATGAACATGTACTAAAAAAAGAGAGAGGGGTAAATTTTTGGGCAACGTGACGTACCGTGGCGAATTGAGGCGCGACTAAAAGAGAATTTTCATCGGTTTCCGATAATGGGTCTCGATCGACTGTCCAATGGGGAGAGAGAGAGAGAGAGAGAGGGGGGGAATCCTGCGGAATCGTGGCCAGTTTTTCCCTCCGCACGCGAAACAGCTCGTACGAAAATCCTCGTTAGCCACTTTGGCCCACCGCGACGAGCCATATCGTTGATTGAACCGCCTCGCGATTTTTCTATCTCTCGATGAAAAACTGCAATCTTCACCAGGAGTCGATTAAAACAAACGGGCCGCACGCGATGTGGAATTCGGTTCGTCCACGCTCTCGCTGTTTTCTTCCGTACACGTCGCCTTCCCCCTTCTATCCGGTTCCTCGCGAATAATTCCGCCGGGTTAAAAGTCGAAAAAACCCAGCCGTTTTCTGAATCGTCGAATATCCTCCACCTGTAGGTAACCCTTTATCGAATAAATCACACACACGCAGAAAGTCTATCCTCGTTCGTTTCTTCACAGTCCATTACAATCCCCTGGAAACACAGATTTCCTCAGAGTCGATTAAAACGAACGACCATCGCTGGCTGCGTCTATCCATCAATCCGCGATGTTTTCTTTTCGCGCCTTCGATTCTCTCTTTCTTTCTACCTTTCAACCTGTTCAAAGCTGCTCTACACACGTTCTCGAACGCATACACACGCACACATACTAGTGGAATAGAGGCATAACCGGAGTAAAAGGGAGACAGAAAAGTACGGAGAGAGGACTCAATCGAGCGAAGCCAAGAGGAGACGAGCAGTCGGCGAAAGAGGATTTCCATCGATTTCCGATAATTCCGCTGATCGGTTCGCCGATAAAGCTCCGCGGAATCGTTCCCGTCTAATTCCTATCGACGAGTTCGTATAAATTCCGGCTGGCCATTTCGCGCACAACCTCTCTCCTCTTTCTACTATCCTCTCCTTTTCTCTGTCTTTGACTGCGCTCGTACAGTATCGAGCGTACCACGCTAATTCACGCCGACCCACCCTCTGCAACCTCGTGCCTTCTTTCTTTTTTCCCTCCGGAGAGAGGCTACAGAGGGGGAAAATAGAGTAACGAGATGACCGGTTAATCGAGCGATATAATCGTGCGTGCACGCGAGCTAGAGGAAAAGAGGAGCTCGATTTGCGAGTGTAGGGGTTGGTTGAAACTGAGAATGGTTTCTCTTGATTCAGGGGAGAGGTGCTTTGTTTTCTTTGCTTGGATTGTTCTCTCGGTTCTCTGGGTCGTTTTTTGTGGTAAATGTGTTTTTAGGATTCACGTGGTTTTCGTTTTCTCTCTCGATTTTTTCTTGAAAAGTTTCGACGTTTATTTTATCCTAATTCATTTTACTCGCACGAGAAACTGTCCGAGGGAACGTCATTTTATTGAAAATTTGCGTGTGCAGTGTTCCCTCGAACAACGCGGATTTTTTCTTGAAAAATTTCGAATTTTATTTTACTCGCACGAGAGTTCTCTCGAGAACTGTCGGTAACTGTCCGAGAGCAATATGATGTATTCATTCGAAAGCAAGTCGCAACGCATTAACTCTCAGAGAGTTAAGCAAATACTCTCAGACAGTCACTCTCAGGCAGTGTCCACTCGCGAGAAATACTCTCAGACAGTCACTCTCAGACAGCGTTCACTCGCGAGAAATACTCTCGAGAGCAACTCGCGATTATACTTTCGAAAAAAATTTCACGAGTTTCACGCGATGTTATGATACTAGAGGCTAAGCCAGGCCCATATCACGCGCGATAGGGTGACTCAGCCCCTAGGTAAACTGCGTGTAAACATTGTACAGAAATCGGGTAGGACGATATGTCCTCAGTCAGTGTTTACGAGGCAGTCGAACGAGTGCCTCGACGAACGACGCCTATTCCTCGCGCTCGTAGTCTTGCAGAAATACAGTGCTTCCTCGACCAACGCGGTTTCGATTATACGCGGATTTCGAATCAATTAGCATAATTAGCGTATTAGTTAGTGTGAACTAGTTCCTCGCAATTGCCGCCGTGTACAAGAAGAAGCAGTGCAACAGAGCTCAAGCAGACAACGAACAGCCGAACTTGGGAGAAGAATCAAACGACCAGTGCGACAGTTTCGCTGTATTTATCCCCGTGAATAATGTAATTGCTACGTCAAAGTGTAGAAAAATAGAATTATCGAGTTTAATTCCATGCGTTTTCCGGAAGATCACGAAAGAGTCGTGTTTCTGGTAGAAAGTTAGCCGGTATTGGGGGCTTGTAATGAATTTTCAGAATGTGGGACGATATCTCCTTTCTAATTGTCTATTCTAAATTGCCGCGAATGGTACTTTCTACCTCTATCGAAATGTCCAATAAATTCCGAGTAGAAAGAGTTTTTGGAAACGTTCCATCGAAAAATTCACGGAGGAATACAAATTTCGTCGAACTGCGATACACTGAAATTCCTTCAAAATTTTAAGCATTCGAAATTGTATTTCTCGTCACACGCTGTACTCGCGACACATTCACAATTACCACGAACTTTCAATGCGACCATAAAACATTCCCAACGATCCTAAGAACCTTCGTAGAGACACTTATCTACGACTGCGATACGATCGAACGATCTTTATCCAAACAAACAATTGAATCATTTCGACACAAACTCCCACCGACTCGATACCGACCTCTCTACAGTCTCACGTGTGGCACACTCCATCCACGAAATTCTTATCCACCGAAATCTACAACAAAGGACAACATTTCCACGACACCTACAGACCCTTCTTCTCCCTTCACCCTCGACTAATCTCCGATCTATCACCGAATCAGCCGCACCTTCCAACCTCGGCGACCATTGTCGAGGTCTCTTTCCATCGCGCCGCGGTAATTGCTCGTGGCGATCGCCCCGTCTAAACACGACCTTCTCTCTCTCTCTCTGAAACCGAGCTGCGTTCGAGGGAGAAAGAGGAGAACGAATCGAAGGGGGTTGCGAACTTAATTGAGCGACGTCACGCGACACGCGAGTCCGTTGCTCAGGGAAAAAACCAGGTTCATCGGTTTCCGATAATTCGGAACGGAACTGTGTATCTGGTCTCTCTGGCTATCGAATCAGCGCCACGAGGTTTCTCTCTCGTTAGCCGTTGTATCTGGATAGTTAGTCGTGTCTGCCGACTGGATACGCGTTACCAATGTGTACATGTGTGTGCGTGCGTGTGTGTCGTTCTCTGCGTGCATACATCGATATAAGGAGGAGGCATCGCGTGGCTACTCTATGTGGGTTGACCACGTATT